TGCTCCAGCCTCTCCTCGGCTCGCAGTGTCTGTGGGATGAGGTTGGCTGTGCGGCTCACGACCTCCTCGCACACGGTTATGGCATCCTGAGGCCTCCCTGCCTGTTGCAGGGCAGACGCAGCTTCCAGGAACACCTCTGGCAGCCTGGGCAGAGCTGATCCTCCATCCAGGGGGACCTGGCATGGAAAAGTGCTCAGACACTGCACTGCACAATTCCCAGTGCAGCCCCATGCTTGCTGGGAACACACAGCTGGCACTCAGCAAATTTCAGACCCACTCCCTTAGAAACTGCAGCCTGCTGGAGGCAAAAGCTGTGGAGCAGCAAACGCTCAGCAGAGCCAGGGAGGCAAAGCCCTAGTCCTGAAGTGAAGGACATCCAAAACTGGGCCAACAGCTGCTTCAGAAGATAATGGGAAAATGTTTCTCCAGTAGTGCCAACCCTGAGGCAGATGTGCCACAGGTCAGAGGAGTCAGCTCACAGCTCTCACTGGCCCCGTGCAGCTAACTACTCATTTCCTTCATGTCTCAAGCTACACAGCAAAACTGGGAGTCCAGGTATGAAGCCTGATACCAGTCCTTCAAGTGGGGATCCAAACCTTATCTCTCAAGGCAGCAGGCCAGCTCTTCAAGACACCCACCTGCTGCTGCAGCCCATCCTGAAGCAGCAACAGAAAATCCAGGTAATGTTCCACAGCATCAGCCACTCTGCAACAGGGACAGGACACATGGAAGGAGCAGGGGACCCCACAAAGTGCCAGGAACCAAGTGGAACCTGAGTCACCAGCCTGCAGGCCCTCCCCACCCTGCACTTGCTCTGTCTGTGCTGCCCATGTCTAACAGACCTGTAACAGCAACACTGAACTGGAGCACAAATAAAACTGCAGATCACAAAGGAGCAGCTTGTTGTGAGAAGACAAGAGGCAGCTCCGTTACCTCCCGTCCTCGAGACACCTCTGTGCCAGCAGGTACTTCACTTCGGACAGGTGTTGGTGGCGGAGGAGAGAAGCCAGAGCTGGTGTGTGGACAAGGTGCTCTGTTTGGATTAGACAACTGGGAGCAGGGGAAGCAGCTGCTGGAGGGTTTCTTTCCAGAGCCTGCAAAACAGGAACAGAGACTTTGGTAGATACAGATCTCACTTACTAGGGCACAGCCACCTCCAGGAAGAGCAAGCAAGATCACAGAGACAGGCAGACTTTTGCTCTCCACGTAGCATCAGGAAATCTCTGAGGCCATCCCGAGCACACGGAACCTCAGGCTTTCAGTTCCAGGTGCTCTGTACTGCCTGGAACAGCAACTCTCCTCACAGCCACGGACCTAGTTAGATCAGCTCTTGTGCTGTTAGCATCAACAGAGATCCCTCTTGGCTCTGTTTGGGTTAGGGAATTTTGAAAGGCAGACGATCTAACTTGGTGTTTACTGCTCCTGCAAGGCGGAACAAGGCTGCCACAACGAACACACAGTTCTCACAGACACAACATGTCCTTTAAAGTTCTCTTTACTAAACACTTTAAGACACTGATGTCCTCCAACACCAAAGCGTACACTCGCAAGCCATCAAGAACATGAGCTCCAATTCAAAAGCGCTGCCTCAGCAAACAGCCAGGTGCTAGGCAGGGGGTCCTGACCAAGCTCAAAAAATGACCCCGAAGCCACCCCTCTGCAAAACTGGGGGCAGCAGACAAACCTCACAGAGCACAGCCAGGGCCTGCAGCTCCGCATCCACCTCCCCCAGCTCGTGGTACACCGCTGTGGCATGGGACAGGGCAGGAAGGCACTGGAAGTCCACCTGGAGGGCCCGCTTGAGGTGCTGAAGGGCTGTCTGAGGCTTGCCCTAGGAAAATGGCAGGAGATGCACATTGCAAAGACATCTTGCTGACATCTTTGTAGCTTGCCAGAGTATGAATCCCTCTGCACACTGAGGCTGTTTCCCCTCTCCTTGCTGGCAAGGGAGAGGCTTGGCCGTTACCATTCGCTGAGCGCAGCAGCTGAGGCAGGTGTAGATCTGAGCCAGGAGCCTCTTGGAGCAGAATCCGCCTGCAGCCTCTTGGAGGAGGGAGAGGGCAACAGGGAGGTTTCCAGCCTCCAGCTCTTGAAGCCCTACGAGAGATCCAACACACGTCCTGGCCTACAAACAAGTCTGTGTAGACCCCAGCCCTGCTGCAAAGTCCGCAAAGGGAGCAGGCCCACAGGTCAGCCTGTGCTGTGCCCAATCCACCCTTTTCCTTCCCTTCTCCCAGGAGCCCCTCTACACCAGCAGCACGGGGCAGGACCAGCCCAAGCTGCCATCTTTTATTCAGCACTCCTGGAAAAGAACAAGCTGCCCTTTGGAAGTTTCTCACAGAAAGAAATGCAGCCTCCGAGCCCTGGATACCGAGATGCCAACCTCTGCCCAGGCAGAGAGCACAGGAAGGTGATAGGCAAGCCCCAGCGCACATACATGATCAGCAGAGACAGTGCAAGTGAGGAAGCATGCACAGAAACATGGTAAAAAAATTCCAGCACATCCAGGCCATTACTCAGCAAGATGCTCTGGGATATTAATTTATTAATATTTATTGTAAACGCTATTTGCTTTTCTTTCAATCTGTATTTCAAGCTTCCATTTGAAAACACCCTCACATGCCTAAGTCACGTCTACATTCAATGTGCTGCCTCCTCACTGGAAGTGTTATTGCCACCCTAGAGGTTTTTGAAAGGTCCGTGCACGAGAAACTCCAACTTTCCCTATCCAGAGAAAGCCCCAGGGCCAGCCTGAACACAGTGAGGCAGCACTGGCTGCCCCAGGAGCTACAGGTGCAGCAAGACAACAAGCGAGAAAAAAATGTGTGACAGACAGAATGCAACAGCCGGAGATGAGATCAAGCACCTGCTGCCCCACGAGGCTGCACGGCTGGACAGCAGCTCTGCTTGGCTCCCACAGCACTACAGTCCAGCAGGACCTGCACATCTACAACCAGGCAGGCACCAGCAGACAGACAGAAGGAAGAAAAATCCTCAGAAACCCCTCATCAGCCTTCCAGTTCTAGCAGGATACGCGCTGGACCCAGTCATCTACCTAAAGCCAAAGAGAGGTGGAAGAAGCCCTGTGGCAAAGCAGAGGCTCAGCTAGGGAAAAAGCAAAGGAACTCTTTGGAGATGCAAGACTGAGGCCCGCACACCCAAAGGCTCAGCCTGGTCATTTCCCAAGGGAATCCCGAGGTTGGGAAGAAAACTGGGATAACAGCAGGGGAAAAGGGCCCTGGGGCAGGAGGAAGGGATGGGTCCCCTCCACACAAACCCTGCAGGAAGGCAGCCGCTGTGAACAGTATCTCCTTCAAGTCTTGGGCGCTCTGAACTAGGGACACAGAGGCCCCCTCAGCAGGTACTTTCCATGCCCTGAGCAGGGAGAGGAGTTGGGTCTTTCCTTTGCTGCAGGGAGCTCTCCCTGGGTCCTGCAAACACAGAGAGAGAGGGGGGAATATCAGTGCTAGGACAGAGGGAAGCAGGGGGGCAGGGAAGCTCTTTGCCAGCACGTTGGGGAGCTATGTCCTATCATCCCCCTCACCCTAACTACAACCTGCTTGGGGGAATAATTCCTTCCTCTTGCTGGGCAACAGCTCCCACTTGAGACCGAGGGGCCCCTTTGGGACCTCTGGCAGAGCAGCCCCCAGGGAAGCTGGTCCTGCTGATGAGCAGCAAAGGTTGCTCCAAGTCATGCCGTTCAGAGCTTGCTCCCTGCAGACGCTGCAGCTCTGCTTGCAGCCCCCTTCCAGCCGAGTCACCCGCCTCGCTGGCGCCTGCTGGCTGATGGCCCCGGCAGGCAGGAGCTATTCTGGGACCCGCTAGGCTAAGCAGGGCCGCCAAGACAGGATTACTCATGCTGAATGGGAAGCACCGAGGGGTTTGAGTCTCCAAGTGCCACAGCAGCATTTTGGAAAAGGTTTTATGACAAACACAACATTTCTGCCAGCTCTGTGTCCTTTACCAAACCTGCAGGTGGTTATTTTGATCTGCACAGATATAGCTGGGGTGCACATTGAGACTGCTGGGAAACCCCCAGTGATAGGAGTAAAGCTAAAATAGTAGCCCCTTAGCCACAGGCCAGATAGGTCTCCTGACATGAACAAGTATTTCAGATACTGTCCTAAGGCAGAAGGCACAAGATGCCCAGACAATTTGGCTCAGTGCTAAACTTTAGGCCATCCAGAAAAGCATCAAGCACCAGCTACGGAGCAGATCATGGGCCCCCGGCCCCCCCGCTCCTTGTAGGGCCCCCAGCCGGTGCAAAGGCGCCTGCAGCTCTTCAACAGTCACCTCCTGCAGCACCTTCTGCCACAGCTTCTCAGTGCTGAGATCCTGCCCAGCGGCCCCGCAGGCCTCCAGGACTGGAAAAGAAACAACCATGAGGCAACAGGTCTGTGCCCTGGAACAGACATACCCCCAAGAGCAGGAGGAAGCCTCAAGCAAGCAGAGGCTCTCCCTAGCGAGGGATGGGAGAGGGTTTCAGAGCTTGCCCGGTCTCACAGGAGCTGCCACAGTTAGTGCACTAACCCACATCAGGCGGCACTGCTCACTGCCATCACTGACACCCTCCTAAGGCCCCTAGCCCAAAAGCGGGCAAGCACTAACACTGCAGGTCTGACTCACAGCAAGTTTCCTTTGAAACCAGCACATTATAATTAACAAAAACTTTGTTAGAAGCTTGGTGTTTTATGCCTTGAAAACTCATTTCTATCATTTAAAACCTTTGGCTCATCTGCATGGCCTGCAGCATGTACATATCACCCATGTCCTCGGGTTGCTCCATGCTCCAGCCATTCTCTACAGAGCCAGCCTTTGTTTTACACAGGCTTCCCATCCCCTGGCCAGTCACTTGACATATTCAAAGCAGAGGGAATGTCCTCCTCACCTCTGAGCAGCCCCTGTCGTATTTCTTCTGCTTCTCCATTAACGCCACAGTTAGATGTTCCCACAGCAAAAATCAGGGAGTTATAGAGAACCGTGAGCTCCAGAGGCAAAGTGGCGAGGGCAGCTGGCAGTCCTGTAATCAAAACCAACACAAGAATGGACTGAGCTAGGTGCATGGCTAGACAAAACTCCACAAACCACTATCATGCTATGGCTTCATCACCCTGTGGTGACAGTAGAGTATTCCTGCCAAGGCTTTTGCTTTCGTGGTGGTGGGGTTTTAGCTCAGGGACTGCACTACACAGCCCTGTTACTTCTCCAGAGGCTGATACTACTGATCCCATCCTCTGTATCCCTCGTGTCTTCCCACCTGGCTTGGTATCTGCATCCTGCAGTTCTCCAGGCGCCAGAACCCTTTCAGTCCTTCCAATACAGCATCAGCAGGCTGTGCTCCTCCAACTACAGATCCATCCTTCTCCAGAGATTTCCCACGTTTTGACTCCCCAACTGCAGCCATAGGATAACCCAGGTACTCAGCAGCTCTGCTTTATTATTTATGGCTCCATGAAGCATCTTTCTCCAGTCTGTTTTCCCCTATACTGCTGTTGCTGCAAGGAATGCCCTTCCCGGCCTCTCAGAGCAAGGCA